GTGAGCAGTGAGTTAGCCTGCAATACCCCATTTGAACCACTGCGCCACCATGGCTCTTGAGCTTGAGCATACTGGGGTTGCACTCCTGGCACATTGGCCGAAATGCTCCAAGGCTGACTGGGACTGTCCTGACTCTCAGCATGGGACTCGGCTTCAGCATGGATGCCACTGAGGCTGCTTACCTCACCTGCACTGGCAGATGAAAGCATTCAAGGAAGTGCAAATAGAATCATTCCAGTACTTATAACCTGGCCAGAAAAAGAGAAAGATTTGTAGTGACTCCCTCAGAGTCCCAGAAGAGTATTTCAGTGGCTCCTCCCTCATTTTCAGGGGGACATGAAGATAGCACAGGGGGAGAACGTCATGGGCCAAAATGGACTTAGTTAGCCATCAAGTCAGGCCGTGGTAACCAGACTGTTCCTGTCAAGCTCTGCTCGGCCCAGAGGGCAGCAAAGGATTTTTTGGCCCATCTCCTTTGCATATAAAAATTAGGTGGAGCTTTGATTTCACTGTTATGGCTGCTACCTTGCCTTTTCTTTTTCTTTTTTTGTGATACCTGAAGGGCATCCACGGATGATGGTTTGGGTACCAGTATACTGGCTTGCAAAGGACTTTGTTGCTTACTGTCTTTTGGGGGCTGAGGGTGGCTGTCTTAAGTGTGCGGTAGAGTCTTACCAGGCCATTTGTGGTGGACTATAATCAGAGCAATAAAAAACTCTGCCTTCCTCTGCATAGGTAACCTGGGTCACAACAGTGGCTGAGATTCGTCCGACTGCAATGGGGTTGAAGTTTGATATATATATTTATATTAACAAATAAAAGAAAAAATGAACACCAGGATATAACAAACCAGCCTGTTTAATAGACCATTCATCCCCATAGTGCTGAGCTGCCTTCCCGATATCCTTCTATTCTAACTCTGATGACGCCAGCAGTTTTGGGCCGGACGAAAGCTTAGTGACTCTTTTTAACCACAGGCTTGTTTATATTAAACAGGCTGTTTATGATGTCCATGAATTAGACTCTGAGTTGGTTGAGCATCACTGGGGAGGCATCATATAAACATTTCAACAAGAAAAATGCCCACCACAGGACCACCTACTGCTGCGGTCAGTCAACTGTTGGAAAGATAGGCTGCATAACTGCCTTCACACAACACAGAAGTCTAAGATGGGCAGATCATTTGAATGTGGTATGCGGTGGGGACTCAGCCTTTTCCTGAGGCATCCAAGTATGGTGGGAAGCAGTTCATCCTCCCCAGCCATAAGAGGCCAGGTGGGTTGACCAGTGAGAAACCCTAACCATGACCTAGAGGACTGAGAACCTCCATAGACATTCCACCACAACCCTTCACACAAGCTGTCCTTCTCCAGCAGTCTATGTGGCAGCTACAACCACACAAGCACAGAATCACTTTGTTCACTAACATTTCAAACTTTCTTGTAAAGTTCTTAGGAATCACATACTTCCTGTCAAGGATGAGCTGCTTTGAAAGGCAGAAGGTGTTCCTTGCTTGGGGTGGCATGTCCTGTTTCTCCTTTGGGCAAATATGCTGTGAGCTTTGAGTCTTTGGCTCAGTGGGATCTCTTAGCCAGAGGCTGCTCTGCCCCATGCATGGATATCTCCATTGCGATCAACATAGTTGTGAAATGTTGAAGAGAAGAAGGGAGTGGAGCAGCTGTAACCCAGCATGTTGTACCATCTCTATTCAGTGGGACATTGGACTGGCTGCCCTGATCCCTCACCCTGGATCACAGGATCACAGGTTGATCACTTAAGCAGTTGGTGGGGCTCAGATGGTCCACTCTCTATAGTTTGCAGTAAAATCAGTTCAAACATCTCTGAAGCCTCCAAGATAGAGAACCCACCACCTGCAGAGGGAGAGTCTTCCTCTCTTGGACATTTACCCCGAGAGAATTTTTTCTCATATTTCAATTACATTTAAGAAGCTGAATCTATAATTTCTGGACTTAGTTGCCAGAGGACAATGTTTGCTAGGACATCCTTCCTGACGTAGCCATCCTGGGGCCCAAATAAACTCCATGGACTGGATAGAGACAACCAAGGTGCCATGTCTTCAGGATCTCAGGGATCTTAACAGGGATCCCCAAAACTCACAGAGCAGCAGCTTAGCTGGTCGTTGGCAGGTTGAGTGTTATCAGTTGATCGAGAGAGCACCATAAAGCTTTGACACTCTGGGCCACCAGCCAAAATTTGTCTTCTTCCCCTTGGAAGGAAAACAAGGAAGAAGAAGAGGAGGAGAAGGAACAAGGAAGCAAGTCCTTCTTTCCATAGGAGATGGCTCCATCTTTCATAACGACATCATGGATGGGGGAGTTTTATTGCAGACTCACTTAGCATTCAGCAGACAGAGATGAAATCTTGGGTCTCTGAGCTCCGATGACCAGGCAGTCGGAGTGAGGGCAGGGACCGGAAATGGGCACCAGCACCTAACCCCAGGCCCTCTTCTCGGAGTGGCCCATCCCTTATCTCCCACCACTTCTCCCTTGACCAGTCATCCCCATGGTGTTACTGCCTGCCCTTTCTTTCCCCACAACACCCATCATTGCCGACCTAATTGGCTGCTGAATTCTGGGATTATTAGGAGTGGACTCTTCAATGACCATCTCAGAATGTAAAAAAGATCGTTGTGTTTTCGGAACAGGAACCGGTAGAAAGAAGCTTTGTGTCGGGTCACATGATCCTCTTAAGGTTAACTTCTCAAGTCCGATTCCAATGGGTGGGCATACTGTCGAGGAATTGTGTTAACAGCTGATCAGATGTAGTTGGAGAGACTAACACAAACTTGTAGTGCTATATAAACTCCCCCTTTATAGTTACAGCAAACAATCATATTGTAAATTGCCTCCTGCATGAGTCAACACTCTCTAACCAATGAACTATCACTCTGTGTTCGGCTCTTTTGTAAACTTTACTATTCCAGCTACTAAATTCAACATCCTAGCACCCTTCCAATTTATAACTGGACAGCATTTAAACCAAGTTGTTTTACTAGATCCTTGTGTTTTTTATACTTAATGGCTTTGTCATGAGGTCAGCTAAATTATTTTTTGATGTACAATAAATTAGGTCTATTACATTTTCTTCACTGCTTCTGACATTACAGTATCTTATGTCAAGATAGGCAGGGGGCATGTTGCAGCCGTCTCTGCAGTTGGTTGTAAGGGCGAATGACCACTGGGGTGTTGCAACATGAGTAACTTCGGGACCGGGTTGTAAATACTTTTTTTTTGTAATTTTGAACGGTCACTAGTCACTTGCAATTCGAGGATTACCTGTTCTTTATTTTTACTGGACTCTGACTGAAAATCCTTTTTCCTAATTCTCGTCTTCTGAAAAATTTGCAGAATGTGAAATAATAACATTTTTGTGTTCATCTGTAAAATCTATATGCCTTTGATCCTGATTAATAACTTATAAATTTCAATTTCCTTCTTTTGGCTGACCTTTCCTCCTAATTGTTTTGGGAATCTACAATCATGCTCTGCTGCCAAAGATTCTTAAAGTGCCAAAGATGGTTGTCTCTTATATAACATGTAACATGGAGTTTCATTAATTGCAGAAGTCCATTCCTGCATCTGCTAGTAATGCCTCTTTCACAGTTCCTGCGTTCAGGACTAAGAACTAAGTCTTAGTTAAAAGACACATTTGCATCTTGTAGTTGATTGGTTGGAGAGTGCTGGCTCCTGCATGAGGCAATCAGTGCTGTGATTGGTTGCTGTGGGTGTGGCGGGGGAATTTCCCTTTTTTCCCACCTTTTTCTTTGTGCTGTGTGATTTACCTCATGATACTCATATAAAACCACAAGTCAGCGTCTCTGACTTGATTTGGACGTTTGCTGCAAAAATTCCATGACAGTTTAGAGACTGGAGAAGGTCCCTTCCAAAAGAATAGTGGGGGGACACATCCCTGAGGCAAAGAGAGGCCCTCATGTTTATACATTTAAAAAAATAGAGGAAAATGATGGATACACACATATTCATAAGCAATAATCTAATAGATCTCAAGTGACTTCCTATCCTCCTGTTATCAAGGGAGAACAACGGTCTTACTTAAAAGAAACATTTGCATCTTGTATTTGACTGGAGAGTGATGGCTCCTGCGTGAGGCAATCTGCACTGTGATTGGTTGCTGTGGGGCGGAGGGGGAGGGGTTACCCTTTTTCCTGCCTTTTTTTTCTGTGTGTCCTGTATGCTCTGAGATTTACCTCATGATGCTCCTGTTTGCCTATCTTGTTTGCTGTAAATATAGATGAAAAATATATTTCTTTATATAAGGCTACAAGTTCGTGTCACCCCTTTGACTTAATTTGGACACTTGCTACACAATTCCCTGACAGTTTAGAGATTGAAGAGGGTCCCTTCCAAAAGAATAGTGGAGGGACACATCCCTGAGGCAAAGAGAGGCACTCCTGTTTATACATTTCCAAAAAAGGGAGAGGAAAATGATGGAGTCACACATATTCATCAGTAATAATCTAAGAAATCTCAGGTGACCTCCTATCCTTCTGTTGTCAAGTTGGGAGGGCAGGGAGAAGGGACCCTCTGGGCAGAATTCACACCTGGGACTTGTTGGCTGGCACAGGGTTCATTTGGTTGTACCAGGGCCGGGGGACGCAGTGCATGGAAGAGAGCAAAGCTGACTAGCTTCATTCTGCATTGAAACGTAACTAGCGAGGAAGAGAAATCAGAATTCAGTTCTCACTGGAGTTTATAGCGGGTGTTCCGGAAATGAATCCAAAGGCATGTTATAAAACGAAAGTTGTTTAAAACCTTTCTTCCCCCATACTTTCCTCCCAGCCAAACATCCTCTACCCCCCTTTAATGCCGATCTTTGCCATGAAAAAGTCTTGAGTTTTAGGCCTCAACAATCTACTGGCAATCCAAAATAAACAAGGCCAGTCATGCTAGACAGAATTTATTTGATCTTCTAGCCCATCAGGATGAGCAAAGTCAGATCCAAGCTACAGAAAGCATCCATTAAGCGATAGGGTGCAGAGCAGAGATTTCAGCAATTTGAGCAATTTGCACTAGTTTCTGCACTGGCAGAGGAAAGCACGTTTGACGTCACAAGAATGATCGTTCCACTTCTTATAACCTGGCCAGAAAAAGAGAAAGATTTGTAGTGACTCCCTCAGAGTGACTCCTCCCTCATTTCCAGGCAGACATGAAGATACCACAGGGGGAGAACGTCATGTGCTAAAGTGGACTTAGCTAGCCGTCAAGTCAGGCCATGGCAACCATCGCAAAGATGTCCCTCAATTAGGCACCATAGCTGCCCAGAAGAGCAACAGAAATAGCGCCCTCTCTAAGCGGTTTACAAAGTCAGCATGTTGCCCCCCACTACTGACCTCGGAAGGATGGGAGGCTGAGTCACCCTGGAGCCAGGATCGAACTGCTGGCAGTGAGTTAGCCTGCAATACTGCATTCGAACCACTGCGCCACCAAGGCTCTTGAGCTTGAGCATACTGGGGTTGCACTCCTGGCACAGTGGCCGAAATGCACCAAGGCTGACTGGGACTATCCTGACTCTCAGCATGGGACTCGGCTTCAGCACGGATGCCCCTGAGGCTGCTTACCTCACCTGCACCTTCTCTACTTCACTGCAAAGCACAGGAGGAAAGAGGTGATTAAATATCTCTGTGCAGTGTAATGTCAGTATAGATTTAGCTAGCTAAACCACCACAGGACCTGCTCTGAAGTGCCCAGATATACGGAGGGTGGAGTCCCCTTGAATGAAATGCAAGCTGA